AGGATCACTTCCTACATTTTGTTATTGCTCCCTAGCTATTGTATGTAAAAGCCTACCCAGTTATGAGCTGATATTGATCACCTGGGTAGCCACTGGTGGAAGTCCTTTTTCAGGATTTGCAATAGTACTAGCATCCTTGTCCCAATTGAGGCACTGATCACTAATTTGGCAACACCGTCCTAATTTTGCATGGACTAATCCAGCATAATCCAACACAATGTCAGGCCTGATTGAAAAGGCAGACAGTTATGAGTGCTGCAAAACTAAGAAGGTAACAAAGAAATGGGCTACATAAAATGGCCACAACTGCAAAAGCAAATTCCTGTTGCCCATCCCAAAGACCTTCCTGCAAGCCTTTCTTCCCAGCAGCAGCTCCAAGAAGGAAAATACTGGGCTATTCAGTTGGTGCATTTGTCCCATTGTACAGAGTCAATCTGCAAAAGCAGTCCTATTGGTTCCTTTCCAGGCCATTACCCTGAAATTCTGCTCTGGAAATGCTGCACATCCCCCCTTCCCCCACCCCAACGTCAGACACTTAAGTACAATCAGCACAGGAAAAAAGAACACTTTCGGCTAGCTCAAGATGGTCAATGCTGACTGGCAATGGATCCCCAGGGTTTCCAGCAGGGGTCTTTGTCAACAGAAGGCAGAGACTGAATCTAGAACCTTCTCTGTAAAAGCCACATGTGCTGCTGCTGCTGCACTAGAACCTAGACTCAAGCCTTCGTACCCCCAGGATGAAGGAAACTGCTTGTTCACAAGGTCAATGAATGGAAACAGATTCTAGCAATGTTGCATTTTTCATCAAGCACCAAACCGTTTATCACAAGAATGATCATGATCACAACACACCCACCCAGAGCCCTATGCAGAAATGTCTTTTAATATAGGGCCCTTCCTTTTGCTCCAAGCAGTAATTAACAATCCATTATCACTGTACCAAGTAATAGGCCCACAACTCCACACATGCCTCTTTTCTGGCATAAGCTATAAGGGGGAAATTAGGACAAAATACAGTAAGACTTCAAACAGCCTCTTCCTGGTACTTTAAAATTTTATGAAGTGTTGGGAGTAGTTTAATATGCAATGAGTCACTTTTTTAAGAGAAGCAATAATGCAGAACAGTATTTCAATCTTGGCGAAATCTTAGTATGCAGGTGTGAAGTAATACAGGGAAGGGGCGTTACTCTGCTCTGGAAAAGGTGACATGAGAAATCAAGCAATAATAATTATTTTTTAAAGTGTTGAAGGATGCTACAAGGGTGGGCTGAAAAGTTCTCAACGTATGCGGAAACCCTGGCACCACTCTACTCAGACAAAGAAGATTTTGGTAACTAGCCCTAAACCTTTGGAAGATTAGGGGTTCCTTATCAACAAGAGGGCATTACATCATGTCTAGCTGTGTAGTGCTATTCAGAACAATACGGATTGCCCTGCTCCAGCCCCATCCACCTATGGCACACATGCCCATCTGTGCATGCTTCTTGTCAACAAATGATATTTGTGTTGGGCTAGAGGTTCCTGGGAGCAAAAATGAGTTTGTCGGGCTTTAGGCACATCATGAGAAGGCAAAGCTCCCTGAAGAAGATAATCACACCAGGGAAAGTTGAAGGCAGAAGAAGACCAATTATGAGATGCATCAATTCCATAATGGAAGCCAAAGCCTTGAATTTACAAGAGCTGTCATGGCTGTCAAGGACATTCTGGAGGGCACTCATTCAGAGTTGCCTTAAGTCCAAGATGACTTTACAGCACATAACAAGAAACTCAACCCATTGTGTGGTATGGCCAAGGAAAAGGAGCTGGGCTTTATGATGGCAGCCCCAAGCCCAAGGTCATGTGCTTTTGGTTTGTGATATATCCTGGTGGTGTCCATATGATGTTCTTGCCATGGTTTTAAGATTTTGGAAACAAAAGCTTGATATTAAGAGGTAAACAGGCCTTACACCCAAGAACCTACAGAGACAAAGTAGAAGTCCATCCACATTCAGTGCTGTAATAAGCAGGCTAATTAGAAAGGCCCACAACTTGTGCACCATTACAAAGTTACCCCACAACTTTGCTGAAGTGGTAGGACTCTGTCCAAAGATAAAACTCCAGACCTTCCAACTGCTAAGTATTATAATCAGATTTTATTTCAGTTTAACAGCATGTTCCCTCCACACACACCCCTTCAAATTCTGAACAGTGTTTTTCTTGTTGTTTCCTCACATAAATAAATCCTATAAAAGTCATCGAAAATTATAGTTGTAAAGAATTGACCTGAAAACAACTCTCTACTAAGTGGGGTTTGCAACAGTCATCAACAGCTAATCCTGTGGAGTTTTTATTACTCATATAAATACAAAAGTGGTAGAAAAGGAGCATAAACCCCAAAATTCAAGTTGAGGCTCAAATTGCAAATATGTTCTTGTATTTAAGAAGATTGCCTGTCAGCTCTGAAAGGCATTGGAGTATGGAAGAAAAAACACTTTTTAACAGATTGCTCTGGCAAAAGTCTTGCATCTGTTATATTGTGACAACACAGAATGAAGATAATAAGTAGAAAAGGAACAGGGAAAAGTTATTTTGCAAACATTCTCTGGACCCATATCTCTTGATTTGCTTGATAATTACAAATGAAAACGGAGGGGACAGTCTGCTGAAGGGACAACATTCTGTACGATTCATACAAAGGTTTCTAAAGTGTCCTAGCAACAAAAATTTGCTTCACTGGTTTGGAGTGAAAAGGAATGTAGTATGGAACAAGTAGTGATTGGGGAAAATCTGTCATGTGTGTTTCTGCTTCATGAAAATGCAAAGAAATGCAACTGAGAACATACTAAGGTCCAGAGAGTTGCACTGCTACCTTCAGTAATAGGCGACTCAATCCTTTGTTCCCTGGATCCTAACAACTTGCATCGCCCACGCATGGTGCTTGGTAATGCGTTCCAAAGCAAGGGGCTGCACCTGTGGGTGCTGCTCACTTGGTACTGCAACAGCAGTGAGGAGGAAAGCACCAAGAGGATTTTCTATGTTATACTGGAAACACCTTCCTCTCCTGAGAGTAGTAAAAGGCAGGCACAACAGACACTATGTGCCTGATGAAGCTCTACAAAGCTAACAAAGGAGCAAGAGGAAAGTGTAACAGAAAATTTCGAAATGGAATAGTTTGCAACGTTTGAATTGTTGCCTTATTTGGCAAGATAAACTGCACTGAGACCTGGGGGGCAACCTCTTGGTTCTATACACTAGGTGGGTTCGAACAATCATAACCCATCTGAAAAGGTAGGACAGATGAAGCCCGGAAAGAAAAGTGAGGCAAAACACTTCTTCCTTGGCACCCAGTCTTTGTGTGCCAGTTCTGGAGTGCTGTTCCTTGGTTACATAAAGTTTGAGTTACTTAACAATCCAAACCAATCAGCTCTATTTTAATGTTAGCTATCAAACTAGGATAAAGCAATAGTTTTGTCACCCAGCAGTGGCATGATAGGGAGTACAGACCTAGAGCAGATACGGGCAATCCATGCCTTCACCTAGTCCCTCTGCTTTCAAATTTGTTGCTGAAAAACAGCCTTCTTTACAAAGCAGAGAGTAACAGCAAAAAGGGCTGTTTAAAAGCCAGCCCCTTGTGCCTGGCCTGCAGGGTCATACCCTCTACACTCGTGGGCATATGCACACACTACTCAGAGAGAGAGTAATACAAGGGCTTCATTTTCCTTTCATGATGCAGTCACATAACCAGATGTAATTGGCCACATGTTCTTGTTCACTGCACTTATCCTTGAATGACTGGGACCTAGGCTATAAAGCAGAAGCACAGAAGCAGCAGCATATCACAGCTGAGAACATTTTGAGAGGTAAGAAAATATTTGGGAAGGAATCTGTCCATAGCAGGAAAGCACCACTGATCACCACCTAGAAGGGTTTTTATGGGGACTTTTCACAACCCTTACAACCCCACTCTCTACCTTGAAATTGCTAGCATGCAAGAATTGGCACAGTTCTAAGACATGTGCCAAAATATGCAAAACCTTTCATATCAAAGCAGGGATGATCATTTAGTAGTTTTATGAATGTGCATCACAGCTGTAAAGAGTCAGCCCCTCTTTTTTCCTGCCATTTAATGTTGAATATAACCAAGAGCAGGTATAAATCATTGTACATTATAGCCTTCCATTCATACTGAACCTGAACCCCTGCCTATTCAAAAGGCTCCTTCTTGGCCACAAATGCATGCTTCTGAGCAACCTTCAAGGACAGCGAGCACAAGACATCTTTTCCTGTATTCCCATCTAGGGGGGGGGAAGGGACTGCAGTTCATGTCAAGAGAAAGGAAAGTAGGTAGACAGAGCCGGGAAAAGGTAAAAAAGCTGGAAAAGCGGCAACAAATTGTTACGTAGGTTTTTCAAAAGCAGCACGAGAAATCACTGTCTGACAATACTGATTTGCATGGCAGAACACAGAGGAAAGTAGTATCCTAACAAGTGAGACCCACAACAAAAGGTTGCAGTAATTTTTTTCTCCTAGCAGGCACATTCCTGTTCAGGGTTCCAACCAGCCATTCACCTATACTCAACTTTCTATGGCAACTGAGCCATTTTTACTCAATTAGTCTGTTGGAATTTGTGGGAAGGGCTGCACTTGTGTGAAATATGGAATTGGTCTGGAGCATGCCAATCCTTCTCCCTCGTTTCACAGTGGACCTCTTCTGGCTCAGTCTCATTCTGTGCTCTTAACCCAAGTTTGCAACTAGAGGCTCCAATACTTCAGCTTAGTCAGAAGGGAACACCAGAATTGCTACCAGATGCATTTTCAAGTTGTCAGGTTTGACTGTCAAATGAACGGAGACACCGTCTGACAGCAAACCAGAGTGCTACAGAGGCCAACATAAATCAAGGTTCATTTTCGAAATTCCTTTGTGAAGCAGGATGGGTGTTTCTCCTTTCCATGCTGTGGACAATTTTATTTGAGGCCACTTTGAACAAAAAACAATGCTAAGGGCATTTAATTGTACATACCATTGGCAGTGCATTGATGGGTGGAAGATTTCCTGTAAGAGGCCTCCAGTCACAGGAAGATGGTACTGGAATAGAAAAAGACAAAACAGTAAAGAAAAAGGGTCTAACCATTCTACAATAGCTTTTAACACACTGCATCATGACAGAGGTTAAACCAGATTGCCCAAAAGATTTGTGAAAGGACATACAAAAGCTTTACCTCCACATCTTTGAGAAAGGGAAATGTTGAAATTTTTACTTTTCCAAGGATGGGAACAAAGGGAACCATTAAATTCCACCTATTGATATGTGATGATTTAGAAGAGATTCTGTTTAAGATTAACACAAGCTAAAGGGAAGTTTGGTAGCAACTCTGGCTCCAATCCACGATATGAAGCACTGGGCAGGCTGTGAAAGGGAAGGTTCTCATAATGCAGCACTCACCTAATCCCAGGAAATCCTGATTTAGGAAACTACATGACACCACTGATTTGCAACACGTAAACTCAAATACTTGAAAAGCCTACATCACCCCATTCCCTAGCAAGGACTGGTTGCTCCAATTAATACCAAGAACACTGCTAGTGGAAGCTGTAATGTCTCCCTAGGTATGCATACACCTAGACTTTAACTCTCTTATTTCAAGATGCAGTAACTGATACGTGGGGGAAAATTGTTAGAGGGGGGAGGTATTTTCAATCATAAGCAGATCTGAGTCTGGATTGGAAATAATCTGGGATTCCCATGCTACCTTCAGTTTCATGACAGGAAAAAAAATAGGACAAAGAGGCATCATAGCAATTTTCTTGAACAACTGCAGTTCTAGAAGAACTTGTCTAGGACCTCTCTCTTACATAGTAATCACCATTAAAATGAGACAATCTAAGTGGATATAGGCTATCTAAACTGACCTCCCATGACCAATGCCAAACATGTATTTCTCTGAGATATCTACCAAAAGCCTTTTCACTAACAGTCTCCAAGGTACACAATTAACATACAAAATTAATGCATAGCAGTAAGAAAAAAAATAAAACTTTTTCATTAAAAAACCCTACTGTAACAGAAACAGTATCACTATTACTAATAAGGGAAAGCTGCAGACAGTTGCATTATTACATGCCTCCAGAACCCTGAGAAAATGGACCAACTTTCACTTAGCACTTGAAGGGTAATGGGTTGTGTGTCCAAAGCTCACGTGCCCGATGGGACCCACCTAACGTACAAAAGAACAGAACAGGCCTTCGGCTGAGGAATTTAGTGACAGACAGATTCATATATGACTTGAAAGCAGTAACCACTGAATAGGGATTTTCTTCTGAGAAACTTTCATTTGAGATAGAGGACTACAGAGATGCCTTAATTTCCTAAAGTACTGACTCTCTTTTTTCTTCACCTGTAACCTCCTGTTCGAGGGGGGGGGGAGGGGGGAGGGGAGGAGATCTAAAGGAATACTCCTCCAAATTTTTCCTTCTGGTATCAGTAAGAGAGAAAGAGAGAGAAATGTATAGAGCACAAGATAGCTAAATATTAATACAATAGTAGCATTTCCCATGCTATTCACTTCAGCAGTCATGCATAATTTCTTGATATAAAATACCATGATCCTTTGCACTAGTGGTGTGGTAATTCGATTGGGGCTTGAACTCTGGTTAGAGAATCCAGGAGGCTCAGCATTTTTCATTAAGAGGGTTTGGTACTACTTCACAGAAGCAATTCTGATCAGCAGATGTCACAAAAGCCCCAGGATAGAAGTGGGTGGAGCATCAACCAAGCAAAGATGGGACTTGGGAAAAACCATACATATTTTGCATGACATCCAAAGGATTAAAAAAGGTTTTTAAGGAGCAAGCTACACAATGATACAACTGTTGAAAGCCAGTATGAACACAGAATATCATCACAGGTTTGCAAATTATGACAGGCAATGGCAGCTTACAAAAGCTAGTAGCTATGTTAACTTCCATCATTCTCTGCATCTTTATATAAATGGGTATAATGTGACACTTCACTATGGCCAGTTTTCAGTGCTGGTAATCCAACTGCTAGTGCAAATGACCACTCGTAGAATAGGAAAGTAGTGCTTACTGGCACAACCCAAGAACTTAAGGCTTTTGGAATGGGACATGTCAGTGGAGGCCCTTTCCTTGATCTTTGGTGGCTTTTTGTTGGGGCAGTTTCCAGCTGTCCTAGCAAGCACTCCATTATGCTATCAGTCAGACCCATTAGCACAACAGCAATACCTGTGTATGATAAAGATGCATTAAAGCACAATCTGAAAGAATGACATGTGCATACAACCCTCCCCCCCTCCCCGCAACGATCATTGTGCCAGTTCCAGGTCTGAAAGAATCCCTGGCAAAGAGTGCTTTAGAAGACCATATCCTCCACTGGTCAACCCGGCAGCACCACCAACACCACTACCAGCTGCCCCTCTCTGATTCAGAACCAGTCAGCTGGGAACTCCATGTTTTACTTTCCACAGATCACTGGAGGGCATACCATCAATGACATGTAGAGATACTTGGATTTCAGCAGTTGCCATGGGGTGTGATGAACAGGTGCCAGGCCTATATAATGCGCAGATATAATCCTCAAGATGCAATTGTACCTGTATATCTGTATGCTCAGTGGAAAGCTGGGGTTTTCACCTTTGCAGTATGTGAAATGGCCCTAGGATCATACTGTGCAGTAGGGTCTTTAGATGGCAATTTACTGATGGATGGATACATGTGTGCATAAACACATATGGATATATATATTTAGAGGATATTAAAGGGTTATGTCTGCTTTAGGATGTAATGTGAGGAAACTTAATAAAATTTAAATGACCATAAAAAGAAAAAAATATCAAGGAAAAGGCATGTGCATAATTGTGGGAATGCATAAGATTCAACACTGGTTTTATGAGCATCATCACTCAGCTAGTGAAGCCCACGCATTGCTCGGAGCAGCTGCCTCTGAAAGAGTAATTTATAAGGAAAAATGAAATGCTCTGAGAACATTCTGCTAGGTTTCTGGAAACCACCACGACATTCAGAAGTACTTCTGCCATGGAATAATAAGGAGAGGCTGCATGAGAACAGTAAGTTTGCAAGTAAAAGATCTCCGTAAGGCTGGGATGCAGCAGAGCAATGGTCCATTTGCTAAATGGCATAATTCCTTCCACCAAAACACTAAATACACTATCAGTACAAAAGAAAATACATTGGATTATCCAGCATTTCCCACCCTCACCAGCAGGAACACTACCTGAGTGGAGTTCCATGGAGATCAGTTCAGATAACGAAAGAAATGTACCTGTACGTTCTCTCTTTTTCAAATCCCAGTAATAACCTCATGCTGTTCTGGAGGACCCCTGCAAGCTTCCATAGGAAATGTTCAAGCCCACAGTGTGCTCCAGGACAATGGGGGAACTGGCAAAGTTGTCCTGCACCTTCTTCTACCAGCAGAAACACTCCAGGAGATCAGAAACCTTCTGAAGGCAGAAGGACCCCCCTGTCTGCAGGTGAAGATTCTAAATACAAGCTGACAATTTCATTCCCAGGAAGAGGGATGGGAAGGAAAAAGAGAAAAGCACATCAGTTCATTATCAGTTCAAAGATTTCTTCTAACTGGAATATGCTGCAGCAAGAACACATGATTCTAGAGCAAACCAAACAGCAGGAAAGAACGTGAAAGATAATGATGCAGTCTCTATGATGGGCTTAAATACAAAAGGCTGGTTTAGTTGCTCTTATGAGGGAGACTGAGAATGGGATCCAAATAGGTACACCCTGATGCTCACGCATGCCCCCCCCCCCAATTGGACTGATGCCTTTGTGCAGCCCAACAGGGGAAAATGCCCGGGGGCTGGGAGCTTGCATGAGTAATGCTTACACAAACTGAAGGCACCCTTTGGATCTGGGCAAAAATGAATGAATTTGTTCCACTGAAGCTTTTTTTTGAACTGGGGTGCAGAAGTGAGGAAAGGGGACCAACTCTTTTCACCGTTACCAACCACTGCACTGCAGCAATCCTGAGACTAGGAAATGTACAAAGTGGCACTGCCGCTCTCTGATCCCATGTGAAAACATGAGGAAAAGACAAGATGCACATTGTGCAGTAAAGGCTTCATGTCACACTGAAGTTGGCATTTACAGATCCAATAATTGCACAGATGTAACTGAGGTGAGGGATGACAAGTGACCACACACATAGTAACTGTCCGTCCTACAACAACATGAGGGACTGGAGTGGGAATGAATACATAGTCATTGAATCAAAAAGCATCCGCAAGGAGTATGAAGCTTCCAAGTTCCACAAGCTCTAAGTTGGCTTCCTTGCAGATATGCCTCAGGATCACAAGCCTTGCATCAAACAGAATGCTCAGACTTCTGCAAATGGGGTGCATGCCCTGTGGGTGAGCTCTACCCACCTAACACAGGGGGTAGAGTACTTTTCTGTGAGCTTACAGATCTTTCTATCACCTGCAGGAAATGTACCCTGCCCTTTCAGCCTGCGAACAAAGCAGCAACACAGTCATGGTATCAGTACATCTACCTATGAAAGAGGATCCGCACTTCTGCCTACACGGTAGCACCAAGACCACCCGGCTAAAGTTGGGTTCTGCACTCCAGCATCAAGAACCAATCTTGGATGAAGGGCCCCCAGTGGTGTGCACCTCAAGCTTGTTTTGTTTTTAAAACACACTGATTAATTTGAATGCATGTAAATATATCTGATTAAATTGAAAGTGAAATATGCATAGCTTTGCCAGTGATATGGTTTGATGCCTAGGGGTACTGGTACTGGTTATTAGCTTGAGAGACAGTTAAGAACCTGTCCCCCCCCCTCAGGGGGCTATAGAAGTACACCATGGCCGAGTGCCTAGAAATGCCAGCAGGCATGGTGCTGCTCTAGGTATCATGTGTCTAGCTCGTACAGGCATGTAAGTTTGCTCTTAGTTTGAGTTATTCCAAGCCATGCGAGGTTGGAGGAGACACAACAAAAAGACCTACCCTTCAGCTACACCTTTTTTGCACCTGAAACTGGGTGATTTTTAACCAAGATCAATACTTCATGATCCGTGTGAAAAATTCCCTGT